GATATATATGTATTATCATATATCATAGATATGTTTGAAGCTAAGTTAACAGAAGTACGTAAAAAGTGAAATTTTGATGCAAACTTCAGGGTATTGTAAATAAAAAGAAAATTGTTATAACCTTATTTTATTCTTGACATTTATTAAATTTTCTTTTAAATATATTTGTTTTTTATTTGTAATTAGTAAGTATATAAGTACGAAATGTTTTATAGCAGCTGTGTAGTGTGAAATAAAATTCAAGTTTCTTATAAAAGCAGCTAAAATGAATGATATAAAAAATACAGGTTTTACAAGTTACCTGGATGAGAGCGAATTAGAGGTACCTAATTGCATTTCCTAGCGTTTAATGGAATAAATTTCAAGTGTATTCTGTTTTAGTCGGTAACATTAAGTGATCTACAAAAAACAAAATTATTAGATGGTAAGGCGGTATTATGATTAAATAATTTCAAGTTCATGAAGAGCATGTCGTTTTAGGCGAAACTCTGGTAGCAGAGGCTCAAAAAGTACTTCTTTTCGCTCCTTTGAGCGACCATAAGAGAGGAACATTAGGCATTTTAACAGTGACAACTTTTAAGCTTGCCTTTGCATGTGCAAACGAGGATGATTATGAAAGTTCATACCAGCAAAACATGCTTCTTGGTCCCTATGAAGTTTGTTTATCATCAATAGACACCATTTATCAAGTAGGAGATAAGTCAAAAAAGAAACTTATACCAGGACAAAATGTATCAGGGAAAATTAAAGAATTGTTAATTATTTGCAAGGTATTTTTCTTTTATAATTATTAATTCTGACCTTAATAAATCAGGTTTTGTTTTTAGAATATGAGAACTTTTGAATTCAGTTTTAAAGATTCTGATAAAGATAGTGGTAGGACAATAGCAAATTCCTTACTTCACCATGCATTTCCTAAGCGACATTCTCTTCTATTTGCATATGAATATGCGTAAGTTTGTAAATAAACAAGTATCATGTTTTACTTTACACTAACTTTTAGAGAACCTTATTTTAAAAGTGGGAAGGATGTTCGAACATTTAGAAAACCAGAAGACTGGAGGCTCGAAATGGAAAGAACGAGATGTCAGTTGTGGAGAATTTCCCTGTTGAATCAGAACTTTGTTGTATCCCCTACATTATGTGAGGCATTTGTGGTTCCTTCCTCAGTAACGGATAGTGGTCTTACAAAGGCAGTTGAACATTTTAGAAATAGATCTTGTCCAGTCTGGGTAAGTTCCTAAGTCCTTTGACCTTTCCAGAGCTCCATATCTAAAAAGGTAAAGGACGCTTTATCCTTTGATGGTGGCTTTGCTGTAGAACTTTCTTTTTGGCATATGATGACTTAAAAATTCTTTTGTCTTTGTGGTTCATTTTTAAAATTTATTCATAAAAAGGTGTGGAGTGCTCCCAGTGGAGCAGCGCTGGTACGTATGTCGGACATCCTTCCCACCATCACAGATAGGACGCAGGAGAATGTAATGTTGGAACATGTTCGCAAAAGCCACGCAGAGAAGCGACAACCCCATATTATGGATTTAAGCAGGGAATGTCCAACTCCAAAAGAAGTACAGTCCAGTTACATGAAATTGCGTGACCTCTGTGCTCCCGAAAACATTAAAACATTCAAAATTCAAGACTACAAATTTTGTGGCCTTCTAGAAAACACCAAATGGTTACAGCATGTATCGACGTGTTTAACAAAAGCCGCCGAAGGAGCCGACCTTATCTGCAACCCTGAACCTACCACTGTCGTTTTACAAGAATGTAAGTACGAATTTTTTATTTTAAAAAGCATGGCGGTCAGAAAATGCCAAAAAGTACATATACAATATGTACTTGAAAGGCGCTTTGTTGTATTAATAACCCTTGGCAAAAAAATTTTGACATTTATATTTCCAAAGAAAATGGATTCTAAAAGTGAGGCTTCAAAATTTTAAATTATCTAATTTGAATTTCATTTCTTTATTACAGACAGTGGCCAAGATATGAATTGTGTAGTTTCCAGTCTAATTCAGCTTCTCTTAGACTCGAACTGGAGAACTGTGTATGGGTTTCAGACTTTGATACAAAAAGAATGGGTTGCTTTGGGTCACCCGTTTACATATAGACTCGGTCACATTTTAAACCCTGATATTGAGGCAGCACCTTTATTTTTGCTTTTCTTGGACTGTGTTTGGCAGCTGCTGCAGCAGTTTCCAACCGCGTTCCAGTTCACGGAGACTTACTTGACCACTCTGTGGGACTCTGCCCATGTCACCGTTTTTGATACATTTTTATTTAATTGCGAACATGATCGAAGTATAGCACGAACGGTAAGTGATTTTTATCTTTTACTATCGCTGTCTAGGGCTTCAGACTAACAACAAAAAAAAAGTAAAAAAGGAATTTTAATATTTTCATGCGAGGAATATAATGCAAAAAGTGTTAATCGCAGTCAAATACATAATTCATTTTTTTTACACAAAAAATATCAACCATTGGTAAGGTAAATATGACAGAACAATAATTCCAAAAAGAGAAAGCCTTAGTATTATCACAGCTAAGTGAAATTGTCAGATTCCTTTCACTGTAATTTATTATGTCAGAAGAACGTATAAGAAATATGATATAAGAAAAATGAAATTGGTAAATGTTTTCAACGATTAGTAATAATGACACTGAAGGTCAAGGAAAAATGAGGAATTTTCTTCTCTCGAAAGCAGTGAACACTGTGTGATTATATTTAATTTTGTATTGGTCTGTTTTATTTTATATAATACCTTTTTTACCCCTAAAAATAATTAAAGGGTCCGAATCCATTGATTCTACGTAGTGTATGGGATTGGAAGGAACAATTCAACGACAAGGATATCGTGTTCTTTTGTAATCCTTTATTTGATGATTCATTTACTCAACGAATAAAGCCGAACACTTCAGTCGCATATATGGAGGTGTGGCTTCAGTGTTACTTCCGGTGGCTTCCTGACCTGGAAATTCCTCGGGGTGGTAAACCACAAATTGATATTTGTAACCGAATTGTAGCGTCCGAAATTTACATGATACGCCAAAAATTGTCGGACGGCAGCGTTAATGGTAATTTACCATATGCTAAGGACGAATATTTACAACTTATGAAAAACATTGGTAGTTTTTTCCCCTTCAGTCGGAATAATATTCAATCTACTGATCTGTTTCCAATAAATAACTCTCTTTTGAACTCTTCTGATATGTTGGACACTCAGTCGATATTTAATCAGAGTATAGCAAATGAGTAATGATTAGAGGAAACAATTTGTGCGCAGGAGTTGATGGTTTTTTTTATTTTTTCATCTTTTTGTCATGTTTATCTTTAAACTAAACTTTTTTAAAAGTTAAGAACTTTCCTTATCGAGTACTAAAAACTGCTTGGAAAAGCATCTCCACCCTTTCCTATTCTGATCGTGAGCCAATCGTCGTATTTCCCGAATACTAGAATATCCCACATCTTTCAACACTAATCTAATCTAGGTCTTCCTCTGACTTTATATAGTCCTGTTTCTGTTTCTAATATTCCTTTAATTAACCTTTCATGTCTCAGAAGGTGTTTTTATTGCCTTCCATAGCACCTTTTGCTTTCCTGATCTTTCAAATACTTCCAATATGGTATAAATATTTAGTCGTGAAATATGATTATTGATAATAATGAATTTGTGAAAAATGANTTTCTAATATTCCTTTAATTAACCTTTCATGTCTCAGAAGGTGTTTTTATTGCCTTCCATAGCACCTTTTGCTTTCCTGATCTTTCAAATACTTCCAATATGGTATAAATATTTAGTCGTGAAATATGATTATTGATAATAATGAATTTGTGAAAAATGAATTTTTTATGGTTTATTTGTTTTGTTGAAAGTAAAGAACATTTTTTTAGACATCCTATACCGGATGAAATTATAGTTTTAATCATGTGTGATGGGGTTCTTTGTTACCATCATTTTTTTCATTTTTGTAAGTGCTAAACGGGTTTAAAATATGTAATACTTTATTTAATAATTTAACTGAAAATTAACATCCTTCAACTCCTGCGAACTTCATACCAAGAATTAAGAAGTATTTTAAGTTCAAACCTAGTACAATTGACATTATGTATTTATAATATATTGTTGAGTTTTACTCCTTAAAAAGTAAGAATTTACTTTTATTCTTGTATTTTTCGATATTTCCTTTTCGTTTTGTTCCCCATTTTCGTAAATATAAGATAATTAATTTAAATTAAACACTGTGCCATTTTTTTTTTTAATAAGTACGGAATTTATTGTCTATGGTACAATTATGATATATGTACATATTTATGTAGCAAGTTTTTTCCTTCCTCTTTGTTAGTTGATATTTAGTGCCTTTGAAGTCAAATGCAAGAAAAAAAGTAAATAAAGTACCTATTGTAATTACTAATATGAGATCTCTGATGTAATATTTTAATTTTTTTTATTTATTAAGAACTCCAGTTTTTTGTAGCATAAAAGTTGATTTTAGCAGCTACAATTAATTAAAATTATCTGTTGACAATACGTCAAGTTAATTGTATTTTATTATTTGGATTTTGTACCATACGTTCCTTTTTTTTATTATTCCATCAAATTTTTATTTGGTGTCCAGTTAC